GCCTTGCGCTTTTAAAACACTGGGTAAACAAAAGGTTTAGTACCTTCAAGAAGACCCAGCACAGGTCTAATACCACTAGTCTATGACACCAAATTCCAAGTACAAATGTACAATGCCTTTTCCATTATTTGCAGCATCAAAAAAGAATGAACACACCCTGGATTTCAGGCTTATTGGATTGGACTTGTTGGCTTTGCAGAGTTCAGTAACAGTAGCAACAACGTGATCCTGCAAACCCATAATCATATAAGATGTTGCAGAAAATCTGCATTTCCTAATTTTAAATAAAACAAGCTATACTCCCAATATAATTTGGAACTTATCTTCTTTTACATTTAACCCAGGAATGAAAATGGAATCAATGGAACTTACTGGTCTACCTACTGTTTTTTTTTTTTTTTTGAAAAAGTTATTAGATTAAGATACCTAGTGTTTTCTGAACAAGTTATGATGTTTCAGATATTAAGAAGCAAAATATCTATCTCATAGTGAAATCAAAGCTAACTTACCAATCTATTATCTTTCTGTCTTCCAAATTCCATCTATAAAGTGAGAAACCTCTTAGAGAAAACCCAAAGAAACTTTCTTCGGGATGGAGGGGAGAATAGAAACCACTTGGTAAAATGGGATCAAGTGAGTAAGTCGAAGGAAGGAGGATTGGGAGTTGGGCATTTAAAAGAGAAAAATACCCCTCTCTTGAGCAAATGGCTATGGAGATTCCCCATAGAGTCCAATGCTCTTTGGGCAGCTGTCATCTCTAGCAAATATGGAACAAGTACAAATGAGTGGGACAGTAATCTTCATTTGTACCAGGTAAAGAATACAAATCCTTGGAAAGGTATAGCCTCTTCACACTCTTCTTTCCTTCCTTTCATTACACTTAAAGTGGGAAATGGTAATAAAATAAAATTCTGGAAAGATCTCTGGTGGGGGAACACCACTCTAGCAGAACCCTTCCCTAGAATCTTCAATCTTTCCTTAGACCAAGAATCAACTGTCTCCTCTTGTATCCTAGATATACCTGCCAATTACAACTTGACCCTGAACCTGAGAAGACCCCTAAGGGGCACTGAGATTTCAGACCTCTTGAACTTCTTTCATACCATTAAAGAAGTCTACACTTCCCCTCATTCCATTCACACCCGAGTTTGGACCCTCAACCTAAATGGTGATTTCTCTTCCCAAATCTATGTTCAAGGTTCTAACTGCAGGTGAATAGAGTTCCTCTTTCCCTTTCAAGAAGATCTGGAGCAGTCATATTCCACTAAGAATTTGCTTCTTTGTTTGGGAAGCGTGCCTACAGAGAATAAATACTTGTGACCTTCTTCAGAAAAAAAGTCAGGGAAGATCATATATTTCTCCTAATGCATGTGTGCTTTGCCTAAGAGAAGGTGAATCAGCTGATCACCTACTTATTCACTGCAATTTCTCTCAAAAGATTTGGTGGCATTTCTTAAACCTGACTGGATACAGTTGGGTCTTTCCAAAGCATATTCAGGAGTTTCTCCATCAGTGGCATGGTTCAGGCTTGAGCAGAAGAAGTAAAGTGTACTGGCAAACTATGTTACATGCAGTATTGTGGGGAATTTGGGAGGAAAGAAACAGGTACTTATTTGACAACAAAATCAGATCTCTTGAAGAACTAATCTCAGATATCTCCTTTCATTGCAATTTCTGGACTGTTAATTCTGACTGTTCCAAGGGCTCTCTCTCAATGACCTTAACAGAAATGTCCAAACGATCTTGTTTCTTCCAACCTATCCTCAACCAATCTAGAGACTAAAAATATCGCATAATGAAAGAGGGATGACTTTAAGCTTTGATGGAAGTGCTGCAGGCAATCCTGGTGTAGCTGGGATAGGGGGTATTTTGAGGGATGATCTGGGTAATATCTGCTGGGTTTTTAGTGGCCCAATAGGTAATGCTGATTCAACAAAGGCTGAAGTTATGGCTGCTCTCACTGGAATCAGAATAATAAAAAGATTGGGCATTCAGAACCTATCCATTGTAGGAGATTCTGCTAATACTATAAAATGGCTGAAAGTCAAGGAGGGGGGGCCTTGGAGGTTCAGTCATCATCTGGCTGAGGCAAGAGACTCCTTGGAAAATATAAACGCAAACCTGCTGTGGATACCGAGGGAGTTGAATCATATTGCAGATGGATTAGCTAAAATTGTAGCAAGACTAGAAAATCTGTACAGCAACAGGCTTCCCCCCCTTGTAATTTTTCTTTTTTGCTGTTTGAGTTTTCTTTCTTCTGTGCAGTACATCTGCTCATGTACTTCCTGCTATTTTTAATGAAATCTGGTTAACCTTTTCTCAAAAAAAAAAATGTCAGAGGTTATTTTTAGATACAAACCATTGACATCCTATTATTATCATAAGAGGTAGACACATGCTGCTAAAATCATCATACCTGTAAGCATGCAGGTAACAAATGATGTATGAGCACCACTTCAAGCCAGGGTCATGTTTGAGACATCAGAAGCCTCAGTTTTAGATGCACAACCAAGAGGAGAAAGACCAAACCGTTAACAAATGATGGCCTTTGTTACATTCAACCTTCCCTTTAAGGATTGGGGTCACATAAGAGGTGATGTCCTACTTCGATGTTCTCCAAGATGCTGAGGTCCTCTGCTACTAATAGGGGTGTTCAAATTTTGTTACCAACCAAAAACCAAACCAAATAAGCTATAGTTTGGTTTATTCAGTTTTTGATTTAGTATGACAATTTTTCAATCAAACTGAATTATATATATTCTATAAATGTATATAATATATATCATACATAAAATATAATATTGTATAATATATATATATATTAGGAATAATCCCAAACCAATTTGAATTCAGTTTCATTTGGTTCATGAAAATTGTCTAACCAAAATGTCAGCTAGGTTCTTTTTCTAACCAAACTGAACTGAACTAACCAAATGAACACCCCTAGCTACTAAAGGCCAGAAGATAAATAAATCTCTCCCTTAGCTGTGAATCCATTTCATTCATGGTCTTAACAAGGTGATGTCATGGAATATTAGGGACTTAAATTCGAGCAGAAGAAAAGAACACTGCAATTCTTGTTTGGAGTCACCAGATCACCTCTTCCTTTACTAAAATTTAGCCTACTCTTTGTAGACTAGAATGTTCAATATGTTTTGGTACTCATACCTCTTTCCAGAGACAGTGATGCAGCTCCTAGGGGGTTGGCAATCTCTGGTTTTAGCAGGAATAGCAAGCTGTTATGAGAGATGATTCCTGCAATTGTTTTCTGGGCTATATGGGGAGAAAGGAACAGGCAGATTTTTGAAATAAATTCTGTGAGGAGACTATGGTGGTGAGGAAAATTATAGGAATGTTGATCTCTACGTTGACTTTAAACACTAAGGGAAGGCATTTCAATACTGTTTTTTCAACAGGAGCCTTTTGATTTTGTAATTAGTTTTTTTGAAGATCTTTTTGTATCCCCCAACATACAGTTCCTTGTTGTAAATCTTCTGATATTAATAGAATTCTTACTTTATGTTTTCTACAAAATAAAAAGGCATACAGATATAAGCATGAGACTTTCTGTCTCTCTCTTATAACAGCTAGAGAAATTTATGTTTTCTGGGTTTGTGACTAGTCATGATCATTAGATGAGAAGTCAGGTGCATTAAGATGATAAGACACCAAATGATATTGCTCATAGATGATGTAAGAATTCACTGTCCATCACATCATTACGAGAACTGTGAACTGTCACCATATAAATAAATAATTGTTGGAACCACAACCAAGCCAAGTCCCCATATATATCGAGGCTTTTCATCTTTGCCAGATGAGATAGCAATACCATTCTTGCATTGAATATTTAATATATGATTCTCATTCAATAAGAGAGAAAATAACACTTTCAAAATTCTCATTCATTTGAAGCATTTCAGCACCTCAAACTCAAGCAAGGGTCAGAAGTAATTTCAAAATTATAGGAATGGAAGCACAAGAATCCCTTTCTTGAAGCTTCTGAACAAGAAATTGTAAGCGGCAATGCTTTTGTATGATTGGCAACCAAGTATCAGAAGTCAGAAAACTAACCCACACTAGGCCAACATTTTTCTAGCTTCTACTGTAGCTAAGCTATCACCTAGATAGCTGGCTGATCTTGGAGTTTCAAGAGAATGAGATGTCCACCCTCTTTGCTAAGAATAGTCTCTTGAATGTTGTGTCCAAGGGCCCATGGATAGGGGTGATCATTTCAGCCCAGCCAGCCTGGAAATTCCAGGCTTGGGCCTAGGCTTTGTGTTCAGGCCCAGCCCAGGCCCGGGTGCGCATAATGTGTTTTATACATAATTTGTACATACATACATACATATATATATGTTATTTCATGTTACATTATATATTTTATGTATAAATATTATAATATGACACTTATAATATGTATTATATATTTATAAGTAATATTTTAAATTATATAATGTACAAAATAAAATTATATGCCAATTAACATAAAAAATTATATATGTAATACTTATATATATATAGAAAACATAGGCCGGAATCAGGTCTGGCCCAGACCAGGCCCGAGCTTATGTTTCAGGCCCGGAACACCCCTAAGCCCTTACGTTCTTCCTATTAAGCATCCATAAAACTTGGCTTTACCTGACCATGTAGCAGGTGGTGGATGGGGGTCCAATCTCTTATCACCAGTTGTCTGCGTCCAAAGGAGGTGATGGTGTTGCATCCTTGTGAATACATTAATAGAGACTTCCCAAATTTCCCCCCTCAAAACTGAACTTCCACCGACAATATGAAAATGTATGTGAGGTAGTAATTGTATCATTGTATGTTGCTTTCGTTTGAATTTATAACTAGGAAATACATAAGAACGTTTGGGTTTAAAAGGAAGGGCTAAATCAGGGTTTGCTGGAATCAATTTATAACTCCATGCAATGATATAACATCAACATTCAAGAAGTATATATATTAAATGTTAAGCACCAAAGATTTGAATGATCATCTAACACCAAATTCTCAAATTTGCATGTCTGAGTAGTTTATTGATGGAGTTTCGAATTCAATATTAAATTTTTATCACTGAGAAAGAAGACAAAAAAAACGTTGAAAGATGCATCCAACCTCTTTTATAGTGATCAATTACATAGGTATTTCAGTTGGCAGGAATCAAAGATATCTAGTTAAGATTCTTCGAAAGATTGATGAGAGAAACAAGCACAAGGAATGAGGAAGGATAAAGCAATCATGAGGTGAAATGTGCTTTGTCACATCTTGTCCAACCGATATTCATCAAATTGTTTTTGTGAAACCAGGATCCTGGCTGCATAGGTCCCACACCTTTATAAATAAGTGTAGATTCATAATCAGGAATGAGGAAGGACAAAGTATGCCTGCATCAGATATGGTCAATTCTAACCTCTATCCTATTAATTGCAATTTAAGCTAATTGAAAACTTTAACAATCAATGAAAAAGGAAAAAGAATGAGCATTCAGAATTTATGGGGATTTTAGCTGACCTGAACAAGTTTGTCATTTTGTGGTAGCCTCAATATGTTTCTGTACTTGAGCAAAAGCAGAGAGCATCGCAGACCGCATATTTGCAATTTTTATAAGTGTCTCCAGTGCTGCAGAAAGTGCAAATTTCTTAATATATGCATCTTATGACATACAAGTTTTTAAGTTCTCACAGAATCTAAACCTATGATCAAAGAATATCCAGGAACCACATTGATTCCACATGGAAATCAGTAATGTATTGTAAAAGTCAAGAAAAGTGATATATTAAAATAAGAAACCAAGAGATAATACAGAAGCTACAATAAGATAAAATGAGCAAAAAGACCAAGACAACTAAACTGGAAGTGAATGACCCCAATGCATCTCATTCCAACCAAAGACGGGAACAGTCACCTCGGACACCAAAAATATATCCCCCAAAACGCATTTTTTATTCATGTGGCATGGAGAATAAAACTCAATGTCTAGGAAATTTGAAAGATAAAACCAGAATACATTCTAATCATGTGGTTTCATACTTTGCTCCTTTTTTTTTTGCTATTTATTATGTGCTTCCATACTAATAACCACATAAACATCAGAACTACCCCATAAGCTTGAGCAAAACCAGCATTAGATTTTCCTACTTACTCTAAGCCTTTCATTCAATTTAATAACCGATTTCAACCCGACAATTAATTAAATTATATCCAACTTCCACGTTTTAAAAAAATTAGGTTAAACTATCATTCTACCTATTTTGACTTGGACAAATTGTCCTACATTATAATGTGGCACAAGTATTATGATAAAGGAGGAATGAGTTTGACATTAATGAGTTCATTGAGAGAAAAAAAAAAAGAAAAGAAAAAGAAAAATCTTATGGTCTCACTACTATTTAATGTTATGAAGAGAGAGAGAGTATGAAAATGATTAAAATACTCTTTATATTTTATAAGATGACAAAGTGGGATTACTCCATTCATTCATTATCAGTTTGAATTAAATATTTGTGGCCATTTTCTGAAGCCTTTTAACCTTAAGTGGGTATTTCCCTCACTGGTAACACATTATCTGGACGGGACGTCCCTCCATCTCTTTTCTTGTCTGTTGAGTTGATATTTTGATCTTATCTGTTTGTTGTCTTTTCATTTGGTGGGGTTCTTTTCCTTATTGAACAGCCTCTCACTACAAATGGGGATTTCTTGAAGCTTTTGCATATCCAATGGTTTAATGTTTACCAATTTAATGCCTTACTTTTGTAAAAGGAAAAAGTGGGGTTACACTCGTCCAAAACAAAAAGGATATAGTGAGTTCCTCACTGTAATCATTCATGGAGAGAGAGAGACGAGAGAGAGAAAGAGAAGAAGAGGAAGATACGATTGAGAGAAAAAGAAAAACTGCTCCTGGCTGCCGCCAGTTCATTATTTATATTAACTTAATATAAAAAGAATGGAAATTACTAGTATGCCCCTGGCAGCACTCCCTAGAAACAAACTAATAAGAAAGAAAGAAAATAACTAACTGACAGCATCTTAAGAGGACAACCCACTAACAGCAACTATAAAATAACAATTAAATAATCCTCACAACACTCGCTATATAGAAAACCATGTCTATTTTCATGCAGCAAAGTATTAATATTATCTTAACCTGTCTCGAATGAAAGTTGGGCAGCTCGGAGCTTTGGAGAAACCAAAGTTCCAAATACTGATAGTGATTTGAAACGCTCCTTTTGTACCTGAAAAGAGAAGATAGTAGTTAAGCAATGATTTCATTTATACCTTAACTTGTTCAAATTTTAATATTTTAAATTGTAATCCAGGTTCTTCCAGGGTCCTTTCAGTATTCAGACACCTACATCATCTATATTAATTAACCTAGTCAAGATACATTTTGAGATCTTTCATGGGCCACTTACTTGATCTTCAACTTTGGGAGAAGGTGTGGACCTTGCTGAGTATTCCTCCTGCAGTTCTATAGGCAACGCAAAATGAGGAAAGAAGGGAAAATCATTAAAGAATAACGATGAAACTAACTAGAAAAAGGACATCAAGGAACCAATTTGATGGGTTAGGAGTATGACCCCACAATGGTATTCAGGTACATGCGATGCATAGCAGATCTTCTGTGCCAGATATTGAGCCACATACTTCCCTTACCACAGAATAGTACCATAATTGTCCCATCTAATAAGCATTCTCTGCTTGACATAAGTAAAAAATTTGATGACCAGTTCATCATATCTGGTCTATATTTGTAAAGGAGATCTCTTAGGTCACCAACATATAGCAGTGTTTTCCCCTACATGCTTGTTACGTGTAATGCTATGATGTTGCCATAGGCCAACCCTTAGTCTTTCATTTTTGCAGTACCTACTTTAGAAAATCTCATTAATGAAAGAATATGCCGTAAAAGGGTAGCATATACCAGAATGTAGGGATGAACCTCGATGTCGTAGCTCAGAACTACTAGACTGCTGCATCTCCTGTTTATCAATCTCTATTTCCCCTGAGAAACATTTTCCACTGTCTGAAGATGACCATTTGTAGAGAACAAAATGTGGTTGTTCTACCATGGCATCAGCTAAAAATAGTGCATATATCACAAAGTTACTTCGATAAAAATAAAAATAATAATAATAATAATAATAACAATAATAATAAAACTATGTTAAAAGTTAAGGGAAAAGAGGCAAGTCCTTGTCAATAAGAAGATTTTTCTTTCTTTGACTAGTGTGTGTGCATGAGAGAGAGAGGAAAGAAATGAAAGAAGAAAAGACAAACTTAATTTGGCAAGAAGAATATTTTTCAGGACTTCAACAAGAGGCTCCATATTAGTTTATGCTTATAGGCAGCAGGCAGAAGCATTAAGGGAGAACCACAATCAACAAAAAATACTCTCATTAGGGCAACCCTATGAGGAAGATCTCACCCCCCTTGTGTTTTCCATAAACGTGACAGATGTAGGTTGGGGTAACTACCAACCAACAATCTTTGTGGAAATTCTGAGCAAATCAGATGATCAAACATATCAAAACCTATTGCATTCTTTTGAGAAGGAAACCAGCTAACATAAGCTTTTGCATTTTGTATGGCCAAAATGATCAAGTTTGACCTCGAAGAATCCTTAGTGGGAGGGCTCACTTAGAGATCTCAGTGTGCAATGTATGGAACTGCAAGAAAGCAGTTTTTTGCTTCTATTCAGGTGCAAGGACTTCTGTCTTTTATATGTTTCTAGATTTCCCCCATATGTGAGGCCTCCTAAATCAGTCAAATCATGTGGCTTCTCTAATGACTGTCTCCAGAACCCCAAAGCAGTAATATCCATCTTGCATAGGTTGTAAATAAGTCACCACCCTCAATACAATGAAGTCCTAAGCAAGCTCAGAATTCAGCAAGTACTTAGCAGAGAAGAATCACCATCTTGTTGAGACACATGCAATGTGGTTGCAGCAGAGTGTGATTTGAGGTCAAACAACGCACTAGTGACACGTGATAAACCCATGGAATGTCGAGCACTGGCAAGGTCAATCCATCCCTGTACAAAAATAGCTTATAAAAGCAATTTTTGGTAGTAGAAAATAATATAACAATTATTTATATTTTATATTATCCAACAAATCATGAAAAAATAGTAAAGTGCTTTTCTGCATGTCTGTACTATATAACTTTTATTCAATTTAGAACATAAAGGTACATATGTACAATATCCCTTTTAGAGAGAGCATCAGCTATCTCTGCTCTTTTTTCAGCTACACATTGCACCCAAAACATTTATTCTCTCCCCACCCCTTTCTTAGTTAATTTATCTGCCATGCTGTTAGCTACCCTCTTTACCCATCTAATTCTCACTTCAATGTTTTCAGTCAGCCACTTGAATTTTTTTTATTCATTTCTATATTGTCAATAGGTAGCCACTCAATGCTGTAGCCATCCTGTTACCAACCCTGAATCTAAAAGCACCATAAATCAAATACAAGAGAATTCCCATTGTATGGATAGTTCAAATAAGATAAGAAATGGAGTAAGAAAGCACCATAAATCAAACACAAGAAAAGAATCAATGGAAACACACAAGATGCAGCAAACATCAAACAAATAAAGAGCCATTAAGACAGAGAGCAAATCAGACATGAAGTATAACCATGTCAAAACCAAAACTCTACATAATAAGAGAAGAAATGATATTCTACACTATCTTGTATGTAATTAGAGCATATTAGAAAGAGAAGAAAGAAAAAAAAAAAGATAAGTTAAATTGGCCATGATATTTTTCTAGCAATTAGGATAATAAAAAAGGAGAAGAGAATGTTACAACCATTCCAGTCCACTCGAGCCCAGGCCCAGCAGCCCACAATGGATCCAGAGAGAAGCCACTCATTTCATGCCGGTTCGTTAGAAGACAGAGGGGACCACCAGCCGTTACAGATGATTCAGTGCCAGAGTTGGTTATGCCTGCCATGAGAATATCTGATCCTCATGATTAGCTCAGTAGGCCATTATATAAGGCTAGCAATCTGCAATTGTGTAATAAAGAAATATAGAAATAAACTTCTTCTTCCCTCCCTATCTTCTCTATTCAAGGAGGTGAATCTCCCTCGAAGAGACTACCGAGGTAGGCGTTACCTACCAGAGAACATGCTGAAATCTTAAACAAACTAATTACAACTACATATCTTTGGTTGTAGCCTCTTTTCAAATACTTCAAGAGCTGATAGGAATGTTTCTGACAGTTGAAAACATGAAACTTCAGTAGGAGGGGCAGATTTCCTTCGATTCTTGGCTCAATGAATCCAAAAATAATGCTGAAGATGTTTCTAACTCTTCTTCTTCCTTTCTTCTCTTTCCTTCTCACTTTTTCTTCTCTCTTCCATAGTTGTGACCAAACTCTAGAGCATGGTTCAAAGTATCGAAGCGTATCGGCCCGTATCGGCCGATATGTGTCGTTCCAGGACCCTTCCAATACACCCCTATAGTGGGTGTATCGGGGGTCTGACTGGTTCAGAGAGTGGAGGAGACCTAAACCGGCCCCCGTGAACCTGTTTCAAAAAATAAATAAATAAAACATAAAAAAAAGGTATCGATTCACCCGATATGCCCATACCGGCGTATCGGGCGTATCGATATTTTGAACCTTGCTCTAGAGGATTTTCCTTCTTGTTGAAAATGTAAGGAAAGAAGAATGGATGAAGGAGAAAGGATTGGAGAAGGGGGATTCAGTTTTAGAGTGTTGGGAGGGTTTTTGGAAGGATAGAGGCTAAGAGAGAAGGGAGAGATGTTAGAGTTTGGTTGGGGCATCTCTTTTAGAGGAGAATAGGACTGGTTCAAACAAGAGAAAGAGCAGGGAGATTAGCTTATTGTTTTGTTTGAATATGCTTAGGAAAGTGGGGGTTTGTTTCTATTTTTTGGCTAGATAGCTCAAAAGGAAGGAAGGGGTTTCTTTTATAAGGAAAGTCAAAGGTAAGCTTGAAATTTCTTAAGAAGGTGGGGGCGCCCTAGGGTTCTCAAAAGAGGGTCCCCTATCTAATGTGGAGATTTAAAGATCGTTTTGTTTTTTTTTCTATCAATAACTGAATCAAATTTATTCAATAATAAGAAAATTAGTATAACTGAGGAGAAAGAATGGGGAAGGGATAAACTCTCTTAACCCCTCCCCAAATGAAAATTACAACACAGCCCAGAATAAACTATTTCTCCCCACCCCTTGGTTAGCGGGTGAATTAGCATAGCACCACCATCCAGCCTCCTCATCTTTCTGGAGATAGCTTATTACCAACTTCAAATCACCCTCAATTAACAGCTTCCTAATGTTCAGCTCCTTAGCCTTTTGAATCCCTTCCATAACTGCCAGAATTTCAGCCCTTAGAGAGTTCCCAATTCCAATTGGACCCGAAAAACATGCAATGACAATTCCTTCCTCATTCCTGAACACTCCTCCAATGCCAGACAGGCCCAGATTGCTTTCACTACTACCATCAAAATTAAGCTTAACACCNCAATTCCTTCCTCATTCCTGAACACTCCTCCAATGCCAGACAGGCCCAGATTGCTTTCACTACTACCATCAAAATTAAGCTTAACACCTCTATGGGGTGGGGACCACATAGGTCTGACCACCACCCTAAAGGGGGAAGAACTAACAACCTCTCCATTTTCTCAGCAGCTCACCCTTAGAAACATCCTCGAATAGCTCTGACGAGTTCACCCAATGGACCACCTTGATGGAAATAGCTTCAATAATAGTTTCTCTGCTTCACTCTTTACCAAGAAATATATGCTGGTTCCTTTCTTCCCAAATTGTCCAACACACTGCTGCCCTTGTGCACCTCCAAAGCAATCTTCCCCTCTTCTTTGGCCAACTTACAAAAGTAGGAGCAGACAAGCTTTGTACATTAGTGGAGAGTTCCACCTGCACCCAAACAAGAAAAGAACCACTCCCAAATTGAAATAGAAAAAGAGCAAGAGATAAATAAGTGATAACAATTCTCATCCTTAACTTAGCAAAGAAAGCACACCAATGGAGGGAGAGGCACCAATTATGTCTTTTTCTTTGCAGTAGTTCACAAGTATTAATTCTTTCCAGATACAATTCCTAGCACCAACCACCCTCCCTAGGAGGAATAGGTGAACTGCAAATCTCTTCAAAGGGGAAGGAAGGACTCCGATATCCCTTGCCGGGATAAGGGCTGAAAAGAAGGAACTACAGGTGAAAGAACTATAAGGTCATAGAGTCCATATTCTCATATCCCTTTTACCTGCATCTAAAAACACACTTCCAATCTTTGTAGAAGACTTGTGACATTGTTCACTTCATAATCATGGGCTATCCAAGGGTTGGGGCATTGACATGTGTTAGGGGTTTTGTTGTGAATTTAAAAAGTGGGGGGAGGGGAGAGTTTAAGAGGGAGGACTCACAAAGTAATTATGTGGAATGTGAAAAGGCATGGAACGAATGGAATTTATGGATATTAAAACCCTAGATAGTTAGGGTGTGCTCTAGGTCCTAGGGGGAACGAATGGGATTCATGGAAAATTAAATGTCAGCCCCCTATGGAGATGATAAGGGTGAAGATTAAAACCCTAGATAGATTAGGGTGTGCTCTAGGTCCTAGGGGGAACCAATGGGATTCATGGAAATGGAATCTTGAGTTTTTACAAGGATAAGCGGGTATTTTCGCACATAAAATTTATGAAAGGATATTTAGGTGGGGCCGAGTCATTTGGAGGGGGAATGAGGTGTTGGGAGTATTTGGATCTCAAGGATACGGAATATCTAGTGCTTTAACAGACGAGTTTGCACTGTTTAAAATCTTTTTTGATTAAGGGGTAAAATGGGGGATTTTGCGTTAAATTTCATAGGAGGATATTAGTAAGCTGCTGGTGGAAGGAGACTCTCAACTGACTGTTAGTTGGTTGCAGAAGGAAGAGTCTAGCCTGTGGAAGTTCTCAAATGAAAGAAAGAAAATCAAGCAGATAACTCAGAATATGATTGTAAGGGTTCAATGGGCCAAGAGGAGCACTAATTCCATGGCTGACACCTTGGCTAAACAGGGGGTGGGAAAACCTAATTTCTTTTGGGCTATATTGTAATAGGTGTTTTCAGTTCTGTAAGTGAGGGTTAAGATATCTTACCCCTCCAATCTGGTTGTAATTTCCTTATATTTTTAATGAAATTACTGTTATTGATAAAAAAAATTCATAGGAGGATAATCAAGAACCCTAAAAAGGTGACAGTGGGATTTGATAGTCTTGGGAGACATGTCACAACGAGAATCCTTGATTTAGAGGATTGTAATTAACGATAGCCATCAAATTGGAGTCTTTTCCATAGGAAGGGTAAAATGGGGATTTTAGGTCTAAATTTGATGAAAGGATGATCAGGAGTCTAAGAGTCTTAGAAGAGGAATGGTGAGGTTTCAGATCTTAGGGATTGTACCACAGAGAGGATCTGTGATTTTGAGAGTTGAGGCTAATGAAAGCTATTGAATTGGAATCTTTCCTAATATAAGGGGTAAAATGGGGATTTTAGGTCTGAAATTTGGCAGAGGGTGATCAAGCGATGTAAAAATGTAATGATAGGGTTTCGAGGTCTTAAGAAATGTGCCATGAAGAGGATGTTTGATTTTGAGAGTTGTAGCTAAGAAGAGCAATTAGATTAGAACTTTTTCCTATAAGAAGAGTAAAATGAGGATTTTAGGTCTAAAACTTGGTGGATGAGTGATTAGAAGGTGTAAAAGGGCAATGGTAGGGCTTCAAGGTCTTTGGGGTTATGCCGCAGGGATAATCTTTGATTTTGAGGGTTGATATTAATAAAAGCTATCAAATCAAAATATTTTCTATAAGAATGGTAAAATTGGGATATTTTGTCTGGATATTTGATGGAAGGTTGATCGGGAGTCTTAGAAAAGGAATGGCTAGGAGAGTCGTCATATCTTTTGTGTGAGGGGTAAAATGGGGATTTCAGGTCTGAAATTTGACGGATGTGTGACCAAGAGGTGTAAAAAGGTAATGCAAGGAACAAAATTTCGTCACGTATCGGCCAATACGCATCGTATCGAAGCCTTCCCGTTACGCCCCTACAGGGGGTGTTTCAGGTCAGCAAGTGGTTCAGAGGGTGGACCAGCCTTAAATTGTCCCCTCTGAACTAGTTTTGAAAAAAAAATAAAAAATAAAAAACATATAAAGAAAGTACCGATACGCCCTACTGGCGTATCGCCCTATATCGCTATTTTGAACCTTTAGGTAATGGTAAGTTGCAGCTAATGAAAATTGTCAGATTGGAATCTTTTTTTGGAGTGGTAAAATGGGGATTTTGGGGTTAAAAATTTTACAAATGGATATCCAAAGATGTTTAAAAGTGATCGGTGATGTTTGATGTGTCAATGGTCAAATTATCGTGAGGAATTTCTGGTCCGGAGGTTTCCGCCAATCAGGATGATTAAAATGGAATCTTTGTTTAATGAGGGTCAAATGACAATAAGATGGGGGTGAAACCTAGTAGATGGGGATCTAACAGTATTTAGAGACTTTTCATGAAGTTTGATTGGTCTTGAATTGGTATTAAGGGGCTAGATCTCAAAATTGATGGTTTCGGTTGTTGATGAGTGTCAAAATGGAATCTAAGCTTGATGATAGGTGAAATGACAACAAGAAGATACAAAACTTGGCAAATGGTTGATAAGGAATATGATTGTTACTATACAGTGGGTGAGGGGAACAGCTAATGCCTTCGCTAATAGCTTGACAAAACAGGGCACAACTCGGGAAACACTATTTTGGGTTAAGCTGTAATTTTGTATTAGTACACATGTACATTTTTCTTTAGATTTTATGTGCTTCATGTTTGGAGATGCGGCATCTCATGCCTTCCCAAGGGACTGATTATGTAATTTCTTTCTGGTTTAATGGAAATATGGTATTTTATCTATCAAAGAAAAAAAAGGTTGTTTGTGGTCCAAGGAATGAAATGAGTCATCGATAAGGTTGTTTGTGGTGCAAGAAGTGGGTTGGAGAAGGGACTGACCAAAAATTAGGTGTTGACACAGAGTACCAAGACCAAAACAATGCCTATTTTCTTCCTAGGCCGCAATGTTACCCTTGTTGTTTAAACCATTTTATTTAAGTCATAAAATGTGAATTGCCAAGAAATCTTAGGCATCATCACACATATACTTGAAGAGAAAATAATGAAGACAGAGTTGAAGATCACCATTTTCAGTAAAAGCTACATTAATCAACATTTTTTTGATGAATAATAGTAAAACTTTATTAATTCAGAACCTGATTTAAAAGTGTAATTTCGTACAACAACCCATGGAGAGGCGCGAGCTTCAGCCCCTCCTAGAAGCTTACAAGTATACTAAAATAAATTACAGAAATCACAGTTGAGCCCAAAACATTTCTTCCCTGTTTACCCCTTGCTTGGCTAACACATCAGCCATAGCATTTGCTGATCTCCCCACCGACTATATAGAAACCAACATATTCCTTGTCAGCCACATGACTTTCTTAATTTCATTCTTGTAGCACCAGATGGTATCCTTAAGGTTTTTCAGCCAGCCCATCACCACCTTGGAATCCCCTTCAATTATTAACTGCTCTACCCCCAATTGGTTTGCAGATTGTACCCCTTGTACAGCAGCTAATAGCTCTACCCTAATAGAGTCTCCGAATCCTGAAGGACCCAAGTAAAGTAGAACAGTTTATCCACTCTTGTTCCTTAGAACAACCCCCATTCCAGAAGGCCTTGGGTTACCCAAGCTACTTCCATCAAAGCTAAGCTTCAGTGAACCTTCAAACGGAGGAGACCACCTTCTAACTATCTTGTTCTTAAAGGAAGAGCACCTTGCTATTGCTAACCAATTTCTCTAAAAATCGTTATATGAGAATTGTTGAAATTTTTCCAAAGTCTTCAACCAATGAATTGCCTTATCCAACACACAGGCTTTCAATTCCTAGCTGCTCCTTTTCTTCTCTTGAAAAACTCTAGCATTCCTTTCTTTCCATAGTGTCCAAATTAGGGCCGCTCAGGTGCATCTCCACATAATTCTCCCTCTTTTTGTAGGCCAAGAAAAAGTAGAATGGTCAAAAATCATGTGAACTTTTGCTGGTAAGCTCCAACTACTCCCAAACAGCGAGAGTAACCAAGCCCATAGGTCTGCAAAAAAAGGGCATGCTATTAGTAGATGGTAACAATCCTCCCCATGAGCTCTACAAAGGGTACACCAGTTAGGAGAAATATAGAGGAAAGGTTTTCTCTTTTGTAAGTTATCTATAGTGTTTATTTTCCCATGGTACACTTCCCAATAAAAAGCCATAATCTTTGGGGGAACTGACCTGCACAAAATTTACTTTGTCGGAAAAAGCTGTTGGACAGAAGACTGAGAGAAGGACTTAAAGTAAGAAGCACAAGTGAAGGTCCCTTTGGGCCTAGGAGCCCACACCCTTTTGTCTAGCCTAGAGGGATCCAAGCAAACATATATTAAGGCAGCCAAGCAAGTTAGAGAGGGATCAATTTCATCATCCTTTAATCCCCTATGAAACCCTAAATCCCAATTAGGATCCATAGGTGTTCCCGAAGATGAGACGTCACCTCTTTTTTATACAATGAAATAGAAAATAGCATAGGGAATAGGTTCTTTAGAGGGGTGTTTCCTACCTAGATGTCCTCCCAAAATCAAACAACATTGCCAGAACAAACTTCATACCTGACAAACCGGAGAAATTGAGGAAGAGTGTTGTTGATGGCCTTCCAAGGTGCAGCCAAGTTAGCCTGCCTTGATAAACCAGCGTCCCACCCATTCTCTGGACTCCATGAATGCTTCCCACCAAGCTACATTACTCAACATTTGAAAAGCCCACTCCCTGGCATTCTCGGTCCTAAATCATTGTTAGTCAGTTGAATTGTGGTCCTAGTAACATACTATTGGTGTGTCCTTACATTATGCCATCCAAAAATCAAAAAAAGGTCGTTTTCCATGCATTATATGTCATGTACTCAATGTTTTCAGTGGTAACCCTCATATTGGGGCCATAACCAAGCCAATTAATAAAAAAAACAAAAATAAAATTAACTTCAATTCTTCAGGGCTTGGGGGTTAGAGGATTCTCCAAAGAAAATGTACTCAAAGATTTTACAACTGGTGAGTAACTTGATTAGCCAGAAATATAACCAATTGCAAATCTACCCCATCTCCAAGAAAAAAAAAAGCATTGTGTTTCTTTCAACAACACTGGAGCAAAACAATAAATGAAAGAACGAAAGAAAGTAAACAAATTCCAGTTAACATAACATGGATGAATTAAAAAATAAAACTAAACCAACAATATACAAAGAAATTTCATAGCCAAAACAACAAGAACTTAACAATTAATCATAAAACAAAAACAATAAATAATCAACATTTGAGTTGAAAAACAGAGTGGGCATCCAAGGAAAGGGAACAAAGAGAAGGGGAAGGTAGTGCCAATCTGACCTGGCGAAGGGTCAAAGACAATGAATCTAAGAGAGTGAGGTAGTCGTCCATTGAATCCAGAAACTGTACGACACTTTCTTCTTGTTGATGTTCTGCTTCTCCATCTTCTCTCCCATTTTCAAAGCTTCCTTGTCTATTTTGTTGTTCTTCCATCGAGATTTACTAGTAAACCATGTACAGGTTAACAAAATATCCAATACCTGGTTTTTCTCTTAAATGGAAATTAAACAACAAATACACAGAGAAAGATAGGCAGAAATAGAGAGACATAAATGAGGTCACCACTCACCAGTTGAAAAAATAACAACATTACCCCACATGGCCCTTCAACCAAAAAAAAAAGAAAAGAGGAAGATGAAGACAAGCATTCTCCTCCTCAACCTCGAGTCCTTAATTCCTCATCTTCTACTTTTTTTCTCCTTTCCCCTTATTTTTTGGCCCCATTCATTTTCTAGAATGCTATTTACCCGGGTAGGTGTTACTTGGGGAACACTTACCCAGGTAAGTGAACTTACTTGTGTTATTTCCAGGTAAATTATACAATGGTTTTTTTTATCCATAAAAAGTCATTGTTAGAAATGGGAAAATTTGTCACAACACGTTTATCAACTTTCCCCCCAGGTGGGAAAGTTACCTACCCACCTAGGAGATGGGATCACTTACCCAAGTAAGTGATACCTAGGGAAAGTGATTTTTCCATGGGTCCTACATGAATCCAAGAAACAAACATGGGAAAAGTGGTCAACGGGAACCACAATCCCATTGACCGACTCCCCCCCCCCCTTTCAGAATCCGGGAAACGAACGAAGCCTTCATGATTATTCACTGTGAAAGGGAAATAGGGATATATTGCATACCTGAATCGAGATGAAAATGAGATGAAAGTGATTTCTTCATAGTTCTAGAGGTCCAGCATCCTACTTATTGTTCCAAGAAGGTATTTCAACCCAAGACTGAGGATAGAAGCCTATTTGAGCCTGAAGTTAGAGTGCTTCCAGCTTAGGTACATAAACTAAAACTCTTATTTATTTTTCCTCCTTTAATCTCTCATTTTCTTTTTTAGTTTGAGATGAGTTGTCTTTAATTCAAATATATGTTCATTTGTTGACATTTGGTCAAAAATATTTCAAAATATTATACATTTTTTGTTTTTAAATGACATAGGTGATATTTATCGAAATGGTCAAGATATATATGTTGAGTTGTCGACATTTGGTCGAACATATTTGAAAATATTATACATTTTTTGTTTTTATTTTTGAATGACATAGGCGATATTTACCAAAATGGTCGAGATACCAACATATTGTATTTTTTAATTCAAGTGAGAGTTTATGTTGATGGGTCTCATCACTGACATATGTCAGCAACATTTCTGAAACATTGCAACATTTTAAACCATGGATATACATACAAACATCCAATTCCTCCAATTTTCTCCAAAGCCCATTCTCTTCATCACCTCTTCCAAAAAAAACCCACTCCACATGATCATACACCTTCTCCACATCAATTTTACATGTTACCTCCTCCGCTTGACCACTTCTGATTCTTGCATCTACACACTCACTAGCAATAAGAACCCCATCTAATATCTGCCCCCCTTCAATGAAAGCCATGTGCATTGGCCTACCACCAAATGTAAAACCTCCTTAAACTTTCAAACAACGCCCATGAAGGGCATTATGACTTTTTAGTTATGACCTTTGGCCTTTCAAGTTTCAAATGCACCAGCACCTTCTATAGTCTAATGAATGATATCTTTAGACCATGTGCAAGTTTGTACTAGTTTTCTTTGATGACATTCTAGTGTCTAGTTGAAGAACATTTACAACACTTGAAATTGGCACTGAAACTAACGGGCCAGCACCAATAATATGCTAAAGGCCTCTAAATGTCAATTTGCATGTAAAGAGGTCGACTAATTGGGCCATGTGATTTCTATGCAAAGCGTTGCAATGGGTCAAAAAAGATAACATGTATGCTTCAACAGCCAAGATCCAGTTCCATTAAGGCATTGTGTGGATTCCTTGGCCTCAGAGGTTATATTTGCAAGCAAGGGTCAAAATTTTGATACGATATGTCCCGTCTATCGTATCGTATTGTTGGGATCCCAATACACCTGTTTACAGGTGTTTCAGGAACCCCCATTTTTAATAAATAAAAAAATACACTTAAATATGGTCCCAAAAACCAGGTTTTGAAAAAAAAAACTAAAAAAAAAATTATAAACGTGCATGGTTCAAAGTACCAATACACCTCTGCCGATACACGGGCATATCGATACTTTAAACCATGTTTGCAAGTTTGTGTACAATTGACAAGATTCCTACCCCACTTGCAGCTCTATTATAGAAGAATGCATAGGGATGAAATTAGATTTTGAACAACTAAAAATGGCCATGTGTCGAGCACAAGTATTGGCTTTATTAGATTTCAATCAGCCACTCATTATTTTGTGTGATGCCAGTGGGGGAGGCATAGGGGCTATTTTGATACAACAAGGAAGGCCCATAGCATATTTCAGTCAAGCCTTAAAGGGAAAGAAATCTTTATCCTGCTTATGAGAAAGAATTATTAGCTATAGTTATGGCAATTCAAAAGTGGAGGCCTTGTTTGTTAGGATGATAGAGCAAAGAATAGTCATTCCAATGCAACAACAATGGCTCAACAAACTCGTGGGTTTCAACAAGTATAAAATAAAATATAAGAAAGGGCATGAAAATGGGGTGCAGATGCTCTCTCTTGGAGTTAAACTTATAAGTTAGCAACCATCTTTTTTTTTCGAATAATAGTACAAGAGGATCCCCCAAAAAACAACTCTTGGGGAAGGATCAAACAGACCATACACCATTACAGATTCCAGAAGTTCCTAGAGGACAATCTAGCCCCAAGATGAGAGACCTGAACCCCCTTTACAGCCAAGACCCAAGAAAGCAACTTTCCAAAAGAAAAGGCAATTAGTTCTTCTGGATCTTTGGAAATGTTGTGGAAAAGTCTTTTGTGTCTTTCTGCCCAAAAAGTACTAATTACAGCAGCCAGAATAGACACCCACAGGCTTCTAGCAAGCTTTGACAGACCCTGTAACTCCCAACAACTCAACAACTCCTTCACAGAGCCACGCATAACCCGGGCAAGACCCAGAACTGAAAAATAGTGGTTCCAGGTCTTGGCCGAGATAGAGCAGTAGAGAAGCAGATATTCATCAAAAAAAAAACAGTAGAGAAACAGATGGTTACTATCCTCCGATCTTTGGCCACATAGCACACATAACAGGTCTTGGAGCTGTAAACCTCTTTTTGATAAATGAACCTTAGTTAAACACCTGTCTAGTATTGCAGCTCAAACCAAAGCATTAATTTTTGAAGGAGAAATTGTGTTCCAAATTTTAGCTGCAGGCATGTCTTCCAAGTTGCTATCAGACAAGTAAATGGCAAAGGATTTGACTGAAATTAGCTGACCACCTAGACAGCATAGGATAATATCTAGTTGTGTCATGGTGAGATAGATGAGGCTACCACAAGCTGCCAATACATAGCAGCATCATGAAAAGTCTATACTACCCTTCTACAGTCAACTCTAACACTCCCCCTCAAGCTGGTGAGTAGTCCACTCTTCCCCGATTCCACCCTTTGGTAAACAAATTTGCCCATTGATTTCCTGTGTTCGCATATGTTGTACTTATCACTCCACTAAGCACCTTCTCACGTACAAAGTGGCAATCCACTTCTATATGCTTCGTCCTTTCATGAAACACTGGATTAGAGGAGATATGAACTGCAACTTGATTATCACAATATAGCTTCATAGGAGTGTCAATCGAGCATCCCATCTCCTCTAGGAGATGCTTCAACCACACTAGTTCGCATGTTGTGTGTGCCATAGCCCTATATTCAACCTCTGCACTGCTTCTTGCTACCACTCTCTGCTTCTTACTTTTCCATGTCACTAAGTTCTCACCAAGAAAAGTGCAATACCCTATAGTGGACCTTCTGTCAAATATGGAACCGACCCAATCAGCACCCATGTATCCCTCTATCTCAAGACTTCCTCCACTCTTATATAACAAACCACGACCTAGAGCTCCCTTCAAATACCACACAATCCTTAGGACTGCCTCCCAATGTGGAATTCGAGGATTTTGCATAAACTGACTCACTACATTGACCACAAATGAGATATCAGGTCGAGTGATGGTTAGGTAATTAAGTTTACCCACCAACCTTTTGTACCTTCCCGGATCCTCAAACTCCTCACCTGCATCACTACCCAATTTAGCATTCGGTTCCATGGGTGTTTCAACTGGTTTAGCACCCAACAATCCTATTTCTTCTAGCAGATCAAGAACATATCTCCTCTGGCACAGATTAATACCATTCTTGGACCTCGCTACCTCTATCCCTA